TGCCCGCCCCAGGCTGCCCCGAACCACCTCACTAAACACAGAGACTGCCATTTCACAGCTTTTTCATCCGCATTCCCCATAAAAGCGGGTTGTTGGGGTTTGGGTTTTTTGGGGGTTTTTGGTCCCCCCCCCAAAAGGTTTCCTTTTTTTTTTTTTTTTTCTTTCTTTTTCTTTTCCAGGTCTTCTGTGCTAAGAGGGGAAAAAGGTTTTTCTTGCATCCCTCTTGAGCTTCTGCTTTTCTCTCATAAGGGGAAATCGCAGCTTCCACTTGTTTTAGGGCTGTGTTGGCAGAAGAGACCCCACGACTGTAGCGATGACCCTCCTCTGTTGCACAAGGCAGGGTCCCATCCTGCACCCGGCAGCAGCCCTGTACCCGGGGACCAGCCACCACGCAGCAAGGCACAGATCCCAACCCAAACACAGAAGCACCACTGCATGGCCAGCCCTACCTGGAGTGGAAATCAGTCTTTTCCCCCAGGAAATCTGAACATGAGAAAATCTTCTTACTTTGAGGGTGACCAAGCACTGGAACGGGCTGCCTGGAGAGATTGTGGAATCTCCGTCTCTGGAGATATTCAAAATCCACCTGGACACGATCCTGTGCGACGTGCTCTAGGAGATCGTGCTTCAGCAGGGGGGTTGGACTAGATGATCTCCAGAGGTCCCTTCTAACTCCTATGATTCTGTGAAATTACCTGAGACCATGAAAAGCCACAATGCTGGTGCTGGAGCCCCTGAACGGATGAAGCCCTGGGTACAGGCATGTGGAGGAGAGAGGCGAAAGCCTGGCCTTAGCAGGACGCAGGCCAGCTCACACATGCATGGGGAAGAGGCATTTCCCTCCCAACATCTGCAGACCCCCAGGAGTCATTTCTTTGGCCAAAGTGAAGGTGTCATGCAAACCGAAAGTGCCGTGAGGGTGTTTGCCCGTCACCCCGGGGACTTGGCACCAAGCACCGTACTCTCTTGGCCTGCTTAGTATTGAGCCCGCTCCTGCATCATGGAGTGAGAGATGGCCTCTTCCAGCAGCCTCTCTGGGCCAACAAGGGGCAGAGCCGAGGTCCGTGTGGGCACAGCGTCTGCAAAGGCAGTGTCTACAAACAGGGTCCAAGCTCCACATCAGCCTGTGCAGGTAAACTCACTCCTCTCTGCTCTGCCCGCTCAGCTCTTCAAAGGCAGAGCCTGGGGGCAAACAGATTCAAGCGAGACAAGCTCTAGTCCAAACACTGGAGTAGAGTTAAGAGATCATTTTGATAATTTTTTTTTAAAGTCTAGTGTTCTTTTTCTGTCTGGGTTTTGTTTTCAAAGTTAATTTGAAGCTTGCGAAAGCCACAGCACGACCTTTGCTGCCTGAAACTCTTCTTCCCCAAAACATCTGGCACTAGGGCAATGAACTTCACCTTCCCGCAACACCCTGCCAGCGCCTTTTGGTGCTAACCTGCAACCATCTCCAGGCAGGGTAAGGGAGTTCAGCCTCGGAAGCCTGGGCAGCCCTTTGTCTTTCTACTGAGAAAGTGAGAACGTTGGTTACAGTTCCAGTGCCAATTGCAGTTCATGTTTCAAATTAGCTAAAGTTTGCTATTTTACACTTTAGGTAGGAGCTGCAACAAACTGTTCACCGGCAGTCCAAGTGATAGTATACAAGCCCCTCTAGGATCCCTTGGAAGAGCTCCTGATGAGTTCACCAATGTTTGCACATTAACCTCTGGGTGAAAAGCCAGCCAGAGGGATGTGAGAACTCCACTGAGCCCTCCAGAGCATGACATAAAATGATGCAAGTGTGGGAGCTAGGAGAGAAAAGGTTTCATGAGCCCAGAAAAATACTAAAACATTTAAATCCTTAATTGTTTTTCTTGAAGATTTATCCAAAATTGAGCTCTCCTTAAGCCTGTGAGTTTGCAGAGCATTGTCAATAAATTAGATCATGCACACAAGGCAAGGATTTCAAGCCAAAGCGCTCTAGCCCTGAGTCGCTTAACAGCAACACTCCCCAGAAAAACGACTCAAGATGAAACATGAGATATGTATTAATTATCAATGGTCTAATAGAAAATTTAATGAAGACAAGTATCTTCTTGCACTTTATCCACGATAACGATGATAGTACGTCAGCGAGATGCATACCTTACAATGTGGCGGTGAATGTCAAGTCTGAAGCCATTATAGCAATTCACCACAATAATGGCTAGCCAATGTATGGACTTGTAGCACTTAATCAAAGTAATGACATTCATCCACAATTATTTATGTTATGGTAACAAAGAGCTGCCAAATGCAAAACAAATGACATGAGGATTTGCAAGTGAATTCCTTCCCGTAAATTCTCCTTAGGTTATGCTTAAAGGCCCTCAGGATGGAAGTCCGTATAAATTCAGAGCGTTATCAAAACCGTGGTGCAATTGTGTCACATTTTACTGCCTATAAGCCATGAACCCAGCGCTATTGCCGAAATGAGCTCTTCAGCCAACAGAACTGTATTGATATCATTTGAGCTGGCCCTGATTTACACCCGAGAGTCATCTTCAGAATTTTACGGGGGGAGGGGGGGAAGAAATTTTTGGAAGACAACCTTTGCTTATATCTGCCTATCAAGGAAAACAAAGACCCAGTTGTATCAACACTTATACATGCATTTAACTTAAAGTATATGAGCAGTTCCCACTTACCTCAATGGGTTTTGGATTAGAGCCATTATAGTTACCAACCATGGTTCTCTATTAAATGCAGTACTTTTCTTTCAGGGGCATTTATGTGGGTGTTTGTATAAAAACACTGTCAAAAACTAACACCACCGGTAAATATAAAATGGCAACATTCAGGTTGAAATGCAATGAACTAATTTATTTTTTTTAATACTACATCCAACTGTTTTTTACCACTCACAGATGTCACTGGAACAACTTGAATACAAAAAAATGCCCAAGAACAATATACTACACAGATCAGCTAATATTGACTGTTTTACAAATGCCCCCTGTTAAACTAAATAATAGCCAAATCTCACTGCAGTAAATGTGCATTTATATCATTAAATTGTAATTTAACAGAAATCTGAATGCATAGTGAAAAACATGAAAATGTTGAAAATTAAAGATTGCACTATTATTTTTTTTTTTCCCCCCATTATATGAGTCTCCAAAGCAACACCCAAAAGAAGAAAACAATCATTTCATATTAGCTGGCAACTTAGCTGCACAGGCCAAAGCTGGGACTAAGCTAAACTTTAATACGCACTTTCCAAAGTGCCCTATGCCCCTGCGAGGGGAGCCTGAAGGACGCCCCTCACCACAGGCTCTGGCCACCTTCGATGACCAGATTGTGGCCCGTCATGTAGTCCGAGGCTTCGGAGGCCAAATAGACGACGGCAGCCTGCAGGTCGGTCACCTGAGCCAGCCTCCCGGCGGGGATGTGGTCCCGGGGGCCAGCCCCCCGGCGGGGATGTCCCCCAGCCAGCGCCGCACCAGCGGCTGCAGCTCCTTGGAGCGGATGAGCGGCGTGTCGACGATGCCCCTGCAACGAGCACACGCACCAGGAGGTTAGGACCGGGTTTTCCCCAGAAGGAAAGGTGTTTGAGGTGCTAATTCGAAAGGAAAACTGTAGAATAGCACAAAGGAGAGGCACAAGTCAGACCTGCTCTGCCTCTGCTGAAAGTCAGGACACAAACTTTGGTAGTGCTGCTTTCCTGTTGCCTTTCGCCGCTGCCAGGCAGGCTTAGAGGTTTTCTGTAAAGTGAGTACACACATACTATCTCCTGAGCTAATAGCGGCACCCCCTTACTTTTAGGTTACTTGTTATAATCGCTAGGTTTTTGTTGGTTTGGGGTTTTTTTAATAGAAAACAAGCATGGCATTGGAACCAAAGGCGCCTTGAACCAGGTCTGTCACAGCTCATGGGAACTGCCATCCTTCTACCGATTTCTCTTCTCACCGCTTCATGGCGTCATGTCAGACAGCGTGTTTGCGTACAGCCCAGAAACTGAAAACAGCCCGACTTTCCGTATGACAAAAACCAGGGGAAACAAAAGCCAGCACCCCTCTGAGCATCAGAGTCTTTGCACACAAAAAAGCAGAGGCAAAGAGAAGCAATTCCCCTTAAACCTGTACCCCGACAAATCACACCGCATTTACCTGTCTTGCCTTTTTTACGTTAATGAGTGACTATGCCATTTATTAAAACTCTGCTAAGTTCATTTTCTTCAGGTGCCCTAAAAATGAGTGATGCTCCGGAAATCACAATGCAGGGTGAACATTTGGCTGGCTTTTATGACTTTAACTGCGACTGATTTGTCATACTCCTCCTTAACAACATATTTGTATTTTGCGAAATGTATAATTTTTTCAGCCCCTGAACAAATATATTTACATAACTGTGTCTAACGAGAAATTACATTTAACTTCTCAGAAATGACAATAACTAAAACCTGAACTGCCAATTCCACTTCATTAGTGTGGTAGAAATGCATTCCAAATGTTAATAAAAATTCCAACATGCTGATAAATTAGCGCTTCTAAGGAGCATGTGACACCTTGGTTAACATATTCAACCTCAATTATATTTCTCTTCAGCACCCTGTTATCTGGAACCTTTGCTGGCAATCAGAGGTGCTGTTTTTCAGCGGCCAATTTTCTAGATAATGTAGCTTATCAACACTGTGGGTAAACTTGCCAATGAAATCAGGCTGCACTGAACCACACACACGCTAATTGCATCTCTTTTTTATGCATATTTACAGACTGTCACTTCAAAGAAATCAGTGGCCCATTGAGGCAGCCAGTTAGCTAGAAGAATTGCCTCTTGCAAATGAAAATTAGCAAACAAGCTAGTGATAAATATGAAATGAACAAAGTATAAAAATACTCGTTTTGTTCTGAAACTTCATCGGCATCCCAATTTATACTTGCAAGGAAATAATTTTTTGAGACACACTGAATTCTGGGTATTACCTTTTGTTTTAAATGAAGGCTGAAATCTGCTATTTACTCTGTTACGAAGTGGAACTAATTCAGACTTTCCCTCAAACATTTCTGTTTTCCCTAATCATGCAGGATTTAAATATCGGCTTTATTTTATATTGTAATTGTCAATAAACACCAGAGCAGTTCAGAAACACTGAGCGACGCAGCTCGTTTAAGCTCTGGCAACATAATAAAATCAAACGCGTTCTAGTACAGGACTGCAGACGGTTTACTTATTTCCCCCAAGCACAGCCCCCCACGCTCACCCCTCGCTGCTCTCCCAAACTCCTCGAGAACTGGTTTTCTTCAGGGAGGAACACGCTCTGAGCAGCAGATGTGAAATATGTTGGACTCCTTTCCCTTACATGCCTCTCACCGTGCTTACAAAACCATCAACATAATCATTCTGGCTTTACACTATCAGAGATCAGCATAAGATCCAGATGATTTTATATTTTTTTTAATTTACATATATGTTTTTAACCCCAAGGGTATGCAGATTAGGGTATGCAGTCCTCCAGCACAACAGATTTCGCTAAGAGGAGGACAGTTGTCAATCTGTTCGGAAAAACGATCTCTGGTCTGATCACTGCAACCTGTAAATCACAGCGCTGTGCCTCTCGCTGGACCTTTCTTTACGTTCACTTCAAGTAGGAAAAATTCAAATGTGTAACAAAACTTCATTACAAATTTTTGTAATATAAATGAGAAAAAATATAGCGCAAAACTTAAAAGTTGCAAACACACATACTGATGGCACTATAAATATTAGGCATGTCATTGATACTACACATCTTCTGGGAAAGCTTTGGTGCCAAGTTGGGCAATTTAATGTTGTCGAACCCTTTTAGGCAGATTTTAGTTGGCTTCTAACCAGTTCCAGCAAAGACAACTGCCAATGCATTAATTCCCTACCTCATCTCATATGCAGTGCTGAGCCTATCAGTACTTTCTGTTGCATGTCAATGTAATATCAAACTGCTGGTTCCTTAACATTAGATATGAGCATCAATATTTTATTATTGATACACAGGAAAATTTGATACATTAGGAAAAGAAAAAAAAAAAACAAAAACCCCAAACCAAAAAAACCCAATTGCCTAAAACATTTCCACTTCGAGACACACATTAGGAAAAATATCACTTACCAGATACTTAACTGGAATTGTTACGTGTGCTCAATCCCCAAATGAGAGCAAAAAAAGATTCCATCTGTGTGTAACTTGATTTCTTTCAGATGAGTTATTAATTTGAATGAGTTAAGTACACTCCACTTAATCAGGAAGTGTTTAATCAAGAGATCCACTTAATTGGGACATCTCCCAAGGAATTAGATTTAAGTCCAAAGATACTTACCAGCAACGACTGCTGCTTAACGGGGATAGTAATGCTGCTTAATTGGGACGCCTTCAGGTGATGCTGGGGTGCTCCTTCTCCTCCCAGCTCTGCCTCTCCTTCCCCCGTGATGGGGTACGCCCAAAACCTGCAGTGATCCTGCCCTACCTGCTTCCTGACTCCTCATACCCACCGGGCTAAGAGCCTGGTACGGCACCGTACGGCTGCCTCCACGCCGTGCCGGGGGAGCAGAGCAGGTGCACGGGGGATGAAGCCTCTTTGCATCGCAGCCCAAATGCAAATTCCTGCAGCCCATCAGTGGGAACATGGTTCATCCCCTGGGCCTGCTGAGTTTCACAGGGTCCTTGACAAGCTGACCTGGCTGTGGGTTGAGCTGAAGATCAACTTCCAGCTGCCCTTCCCAAAGGTCATTGCATTACGGCATTTTACGCCTTACAAATCGAGCAGGGAGATGCAATTAGCCCCAAAACTGGACATTGATTCAGTGCAATGCCTACAAAAATGAAGGGTTCCGATGCTGCACGTACCAAAAACCAGAGACCCATAAAAGTCCCCTGCTCCACCACACCCAACCCACTTCACAGGTGTAGGGACCAGGAAAGGGACTAAAACACACCGTGGGCAGCCAGGCATCAGCCGGCAGTCAGTGCTCTGTAAAGGTCCCTGTTCACACGAGGGCCCCTCTGCAGTCTGACCCCCACATCCCTTTTGGGAAGACTCCAGCACCTTCTTAATTTTGCACGGCATCAGCTGTGCAGCAGGCTACGAGGCAGTTGCACTAGATGGTGACACAAGGGCTGAGCACAGTTTCCACAATACACGGAGACGCTTGCTGCTGCATGGAGCAACAGGCAGAGCCAGCTGAAGCATCCAGGGAGTCTCCACCACCTTCTCCCCATGGGCATGAGGCTTGCCTGGCCAGCAAGAGAAGCCTGAATCTTCAATTTTATAAATGCAATAAATTATCCTAAGGACACTGCCGTAACATTTTATGCATTGATAACTTTTATGCATTGCTCTGCATAAGTTTTATGCACTCATTAAAAAATTAAGTTGATAAAAAGTGACCAGATAGGAAGAAAAAAAAAAAAGGCCAAAAGGTTTGCACGGTGAAATAATGTTTAAGGGCAGACTGGAGTGTTTGAAGCTTCGGCCAGAGGTATGCTGAGAGTGCCTTAAAGCATTAATGCAACCGTGAGTGGGAAGGGCAAAGGACTTAAGGGCACACTTACATATTTTACTTATCCAGAGATTATCTTGGGTACCAGCATGCCCTCTATCTACCTCTGTGCTCCTGACACTCCTCAAAATCCCCTCTTGTTATAAGATGGCTACATGCTGGGTTGGACATCCCTGCTCAGAAAGAGTTGTGCATATGGGACTTTTTCCACGGTTCTGGGGATGGGTCCAAATCTGCACTGAAATGCAGGTTCACATCTCATATAGGCAGAAGGGTAAATGTGAATATTTATTCACTCTCAAACATACGTGGCTTTTGCTTCTGATGAGGAGGGAGCCGAGCTATATGAGCCATTGTAGGGTCCTTCCTCCGAACGGTACCCCGAGCTCCATGGGCAGCCCCGGCATGAGGGGCTCAGCCAAAGCTCTGAGTTGCTGGGAGAAAAGCTCTGCCTGGCTCCCGGAGCGGTTC